CTTTTTAAACAGTGCGCTAGATTGTAATAAGATCACATAAGTGTGTTCTGGAAGTTATTTGCGGAAAAAATCTAAAGTGATTTGAAAAGCAGCTTTAAAAGACGCATTGCAAGTTTTTGATGAATAAATTAAAATGCAATGGTGTAAAAGTCACATGTTTGGAGTTGACTGTCAAAAGGCGATGTTTCGTCTCACAAATATTGATTTTGGCCACTCATATTTGCCACTGGGAAAATAGACAGTAAAGCTGTGGGATTTTTTGGTTTTGATGCCAGTGTCTGTGCTTTTGGTATATATTGTCATTCTGCTTCTATGGTGTTCGTTATGGGTGGGAACTACGAGAATAAAATTATCTTTGCTTAATTGTCTAGCTTTGCGCTTGACTTTCGGAGATCTCTGCTAATTTGATACTTAACAAAGACTAAATTTCGATTTTCATTCTAAATATACTAAATAATTTTCTCCATGTTTCCTTGTTGAATAGTTTTGCTTCTGATTTGAAAATAAATTTTTGAAGCGTTATTATAAAATTATAACACAATTTCTCTTAAAGATGATGGTTGATAGTTCGTAAAAAGGAAATGTTTTTGATTATTTTTAAAGGTAAGCAAATTGATTTGGTTCTTATATATAGTCTTTTTTGGTAAAGTTTCTTAGTTTTCGTATTCGCAAGTTTGAAATAAAAAAATCAATGTTAAATTCGTTAATGGAGAGTTCTGAAAATTCACTAATTTGCTAATGTAAGCTAGTATTTAAGCAATGATGAAAATTTTAGCCTCTTAGTTTTTTCCCTGGGGAGGTTGACGGATTTAGTAAATAATGTATTTTTGAACTGCTCCTGTTAGATTAGAAATTTTAATAACTCAGCTTGGAATAGCAAACTGTAACTCTGATTGCAGTGCAAAGAATTAATGGAGCAGAAAATACAACGTATACATTTTCTAGGAAAATGGTGATTGAAATTAACCAAATATTGAAGCAGGAATTGAAGTTAAGCAGCCGACATTTTTGTAAATATAGAGCGCACCCAAGGATAATCAGGTTCATTTAATCATTCGATTGGCGAGACTTTTTGTTGTAACAGCTGGGAAGCAGCTTGATTATCTAAACTTAAGGAAATTTGGTGGAAAATAAAGAACACAGTATTTTAGATATAGGGTTCTCTCCAGTTGAATGAAAATTTTCAGAGGTTCAATCCGTGTGTTGTTTATTTCAGCTGTTTATTGAATGAGGGTGGAAGGTAAATTGAGCAATTTTTATTAAATTGGAAGCCACTTGTTTTTGGATTTAAATGTCTTTCAAATAGAATTGAGCAGCCCTTCGTTCGTTCCTGTTTAATTGAACAGATGTGGAATTTGTCAGCTTCAGTCATAGTTTTATTTATGGCAAAAGGAAACAATCTGAAACTGATAAAATATTACTGAACGCTGTAGTTTAGATACTTATTCTTACCTCTTTGCGATTGAAAAATAAGCAGGGAAGATTTGACAGGTGGATTTACATGGAAGGACGCCTTGTCTTTTGGGATTTAACCCTATCACCACCCAAAGGGTCCCATTTTGTCAACCCAGGAGCATTTTCAACAGATTCGATCATTAAAAAATAAAAAAAATTTTCTTCCCGATTTCAGTAATTTGATTCTATCTGGCGTTTGCGATAATATTTTTTTCTAAACATCAAAGTTTTCTAAAATAGTTAAAACCAGGGGCTGATCTAGGATTTTCTTGAGGGCTGGCGGATTTTCAAAAAAAAATTTATCGACCTTTTTTTAGGTCGACCAAATTGATTGTCCGAGCTCTCCCAGTTTTGACCAAAAAATAGTTTTTTTTTCGGTGCGCGATCCCCTCTTTAAAAAAGTATATATTGGCGCAAAAGACGCCTTTAGAAAATTTTTAAGGTCAGCCAGCCAAAAATGGAGGTGTTATTATAGTACCAAAGGAGGCCCTTTGGGTAGTTAGGGTGTCCAATCTCTTTGGCGTTACGGTTTTAAGCTCACTGTTTCTGTACAAAAGGTAAAAGTTCATTGAACGTAAAGGCAAAAGGTTTGCATTGAAAGATTATACTTTTTTGGCAGAAGTTTTAGTGAACAACGCACTGGGCAATTTTGCAACTACCTTTTGAGGTCTTTTATTTGGAGAAAGTTCGTACCTGTCTTGGACGAGTTAAGGAATTGCATCTTTTACTGCGCAAAAACGATCAGTTTAAGCAAGTTATGACGCTCAATTTCTTCTGGTGTAATTATTTGTAACTGTTCCTTGCTCACTAATTATATCTCAATGTAAATATAAATCGTTCGCTTGTATTTATCCCTAAGGGCGGAAAGATTTTGATTGAAAGTTAATCCTCTACCGTCGAAAGGTAACAACCCTCTCAGGTTTATTTATTTAAATGTGCCCGAGCAGGTTAGTTTTTGTTCCTTTCATGTGGCACTTGACCGAATGTCTCAATCATATGGTCAAGGGATATTTAGGCCCCGCTGCAGGCTTTTAATTTTCTGAACTATTTTGACTGTTTTTTGGACGGTGGATGTTTGTTGAGGCTATTTAATAAACCGCAGCTAGGAATTAAAGGTTTAGAAAGGTTACTTTTTATTCGGTGTTTTTTAGTTGATAATCATTTTAATTGGCTTTTAGTCGATATCGTTTCTCGTAGTAAAAAGTTTCATGTGGATCCGGTTTTCTCTTTTTAGATGATTTTAACCTTGAAAAGTTTGATTGAAGGGTTTGATTGAAGGTTTGAAAAGATAAAATTTTTCAGAAACTGTTGTTTTCATCCACACGCAAAATCAATTATTTCAAAAAAAATAGTACTTTTAAGAGTGAGTTATCTTATCAAAGCCCTTTCACGTATTACTTGAAATGATAAACATTTCGAGTTTCAGTCCAAGTATGCAAAAAAAGTGTTTTTGATTTTAACAATGATTCTCTGTATCGCCATTTTTTTGAAGCAAATGAAATAAGTCAAATTTTTCGGTGCGATAAATGTGACAGAAAATTTTGGTGATTCCTGCAGTTGAACCGACAATTCTTGTTGTTCCGCCAACGTCGTGGGCAGGAACATTCTGTTTGGGCGTTTTTTCACGCTAAACGATACATCAAAGCGATATGTGCCAATAAGTCGATTGGAAAACAATATAAAAGCCCTCAATTTTTTAAAGAGTTGGAATTAAGGCTCGTGGTCGTGAAAAAAATTTCAAATATTTCACTTTTTCACATTGATGATTTTCCTTTGAACACATGTTAAGATACTAAATGAGCCAACTTGTTTTTTACATAGAAAAACTAACCTGTTTTTTATAAGTTGATTTGTCTATAGTAATTAATTACTGACGCTTCGATTCAGCACCTCGTCATCGCAAAAAAAGACCTGAAAATTTCTTAGAAAAAAGGCAAGTTAAATGTGATCGGAACTTTCCGTGACACTTCAATGGCGACTTTTTTGTTTATAACATCTTTATAATAGTGCAAGGAATTGTTTTGTTTGAGACAGGTTTCTAATAGTGGAAGGGTGAATCTGCTGCCCTTAAAAGAATTTAATTTTCCGTTGTTGAGGTTTTAAGGTCTTAGCTGCGTCGCTATATTTGAAAATCAATATGAAGCTTGGAAGGTATATATATCAATATCAGTTCATTAAGAGAAGAGAATAACTCAATGGTCACCTAATAACATCAAAATCATAAATTAATTCAACTGCACCTGTTTTGAAGAGAGTAATCACTCCTTTGTTGATATTGTAACTTAGAGCCGTATTTTGTCATGAGATTCTATCAGTTTGTCAAATATGACGCAAAAGCAAGTTGAAATTGTCTTTGTTTGAAGTTTAAAATCAGCCTGTATTGTTTTAATGTAAATAATATTAAGACATTAAGCAGGCTGTGTTTGTTTAGATTTAAGATTTAGGTTTAGAATAAAGCTGAAAAAACACAAGTCACCGTCTCCCTGTGTTATTGATCGTCTCGTACGGATAGATTAGCTTTGATTGGAAACTAGACAAAGACGATTTTTACTCTTTTAGGAAAGGTTTAGATAAAGATTGAGGTCTGAAAACCCGTTTGATTGTCTGCTGATTTAACCATTGAAAACTTTGGCCCAAGGCCAAGCCTGGTTGCAATAACTTGCTAATTGATTTTTCTCTGGGGCCAATTCCAAGTCTAGTCTCATTAAGTTCGAGTGGGTGCGTTCTGTTTTGATATAATTCAAGGAGTTTTGTTTTAATCAGTTGAAAGCTCTATCTACATCAGATTCGGATGTGTTAGACAAGAGACTATGCTGTTACCACTTACATGGCTCTTGGCTCGAAAATAATTCATTTTGTGCCATCAAGATATAAAATTTGAAGCAATACACCCAATTTTTCTTAGCAACCGCGTACAAGTAACTGAGGCTGAAAACGTTCTAAAAATTAAGCAATTTCAAAGCAACTGGCGAGGCTCGGAAAAAACAAAGGTACACAAAAAAGTTTAAAGAATTTCAGTGTTTCCGATTTCATCGGGAGAAATATAATTACAACTCCCGTCAGGAAAATCTATTTTGTACTCTTTTTAAGAAATATTGAAATACATAATTTTTTCAACTCAATTTTCATCATTTGATTGGATTCCACAGCGTGCAGAGAACTGATCACTATTAGCAATCGCTCAGCACACACTAGTTAATTATTTACGACACAATTCTGTCAATTCTTCTTCAGAATTAAGCAATTACTAAACAACTTTGAGGCTCAAATTAAAACGTTCAGCTAAGCAACCAAGCCTCAGCCGGGCAATCTGTTGCTTATAAAAAAAATGAGTTTATCGGAAATAAAGAAAAAATGTTTCTCCCGTAAGGATAATTCCGTAAAAGTTTTGATATGCGAGAATGTTCAAAGGGCTGTGTAATGGCCATTGGCTGGCTTTTTTGCGACATATATCACAAAGTTAATTGTTTACATCATACGCCGTCCCTGAACTTAAATTTGAATTTTGGGCTTTTCGTTAATTTGAGGATTTTCATTTCAGATAATTTAACGTTTTATACATATTTTTCAATTCCAATCTGTAGATAGTATTAGTCATTAGCCGACTGAATAAACTGATGGACGATAGATCGCCGGAGACTTCTTACTACTCCTCGGCCAGACCAAGTGGTGCTACTGGATCAGAAGCTGCAGACAACCAGAAGAAGTCCAAGACATTGCCGTTCGCCTTAGGAGTTGTTCAATCAGGAGATTACGCCTCCCAGTCCGAACCAAATTCACCAACACATTCACACTACTTAAACAGTCCAGGTACTTCTGACTGGCGTATTCGAATATCGAATCATTCGGAAAACTTTTTTTTCTCTTAGTCGGCAGATTACTTTTTCTTCAATCTGAAATTTTTTTAGCTGGACCCATAACAGTAAGGATTTTTTTAAGAGATTTTTAAGAGAAAAAAGGAAGGCAACCTCCACTATCGAACAGCGAAAGTTAAAAGGTCACGAAAAACGTATCGACTTTTACTTTCGAAAGTGGAATTTAATTTTCAGGTTTTCCAGCGAAATAAAAATTTTACTTATTGATCCAGTTTTCTCTAATTGGGTTAATTTCATCAAAAAAGTGTCAATCATGAATGGTTCTAAAAATTCAAAGAGCTTCAAGTCCGTTCATTTTTTTCTTCGAAATTTGAAAGTTGAGATTTTTTCCAAAAAACAAGTCAATTTTTCGCTTACTTGCGTTCTTTGACTCTTTTCAAACTGTCTGTTGGCATTTTTTAAAGAAACTTCATGCAATTTCTATCATTTACCACCGCAGCTGGTTTTATCTTCAAGTTAATCTACAGAAACTATCCATGTTGTTTCTCGATAGTTTTTCCACAGGCTGAAAATGGAAATCTAGAAATCAGAAATGATGCATCTTTTTTAGATGGGGATACTTCCTCGAACATCTTGCCATTCTCCTCAGTCTCGTCGTCGTCCTCCGCCAGTCCTTCGAAGTCAGCCAAGTCACAATCGAGCTCGAAGGAAACGAATAACAAAGGGGCCTCTCCAGATCACAAAGGACCTCTGCACTGGATAAGCAGCGCGTTAGGCTCAGGTTGGTTAAAAAGCTTGCAGTTTTTTTTATCTTCTAACTTATCAGCCATTTTTTAATCGAGTTTGAAGTTTTTTGTGCAGTTTTTTCGGTAATTTTATAAGTATTTTTCGCGGATATTAATGCGCGTCCTTTGCTGCTTGATATCTAATAATACGTAATGCGTAAAATTTGGCGAGATCAACCTGTTATGACGAATTGTCAAGGTAAGAGGTTTTTTAAATCTGATGGTCTGGTTTCGAGTTCCGTCGTCTCCGAATTCCGTGGTTTACAATTCCGAGGTTATTGTTCTGACCCACTCCCTCGAGTTGGAAGGAAGTATGACGTAGGGTTAGTTTTTTTCCTATGGCAAGGAAGTATGGCGTAGGGTTGCCTGTAAGAGTAACAAAACTCAAAAAATTAAATCCGGAAAAAAATTGAAATCTGGATTATTTATGAATATTTTCTTGAAAAAGAATTTTTTTTCATTAGTAATTTGGCAAAAATCGCTGTAGTCAATTAAAACTCTTAATAAAGTTCTTAGGAAACTTTAAAATTATCTGCTAAAGCTACGGGCAGAAAAAGTTATTCAAGTTGAGAAACAAATAGAAACAAAAAATAATTGTGGTCGGAACTGGAAACTTTCTTCTGACCGTTCTCGAAGAGTGAGAAACGACTATGGCGTAGGCTCCATTTTTGTTTTTGGCCACTTTTCACTACTTCAAGGAAAACGTGTTCTGAGCATAATTTTGTCGTGTAATAAAGCCCTGTTGGTCGTAATTAGGATTGCAGAAAAAGTTTTATCAGTGTCTAGAAAAACTGGTCTATCTTTTTTTCGTTTTTGAGACAACTTTGGATACCTGATTCTTGTTTCAAATTTATTCTTAATTTTTTTCTTTTTTTCTTTTTCAGACTAAATAGGCGAGTTTTGATGAGTCCCAAGTTTAATCATTCTCAATTTTTAGCGCTATATATAAGCATTTTTAAAACTATAGTAGTTTTTTTAGACTAATTAAAGTTACAATTTTAACGTTATATACACAAACGAAGCGTAGTGTGGTATGGTAGTACGATGCAATTTCTTTAAAAAAAAATAGTAAGCCGCAAATAAAAGTGGTACTTTTTGTGGCTCTTTCGAATTTTTTGCTGGGAGGCTGTATTGGCAGTATACTACCATGTGCTTGACATTTGATTAGTAGTAAGTAATAACAGTTGATGTTTTTTAATTCATCAAATGAGCCGAAAAAGCTACTTGTTTTTATACAACAGTATAAATATTTAATTTCAATTTCAAAATTTTTATAATTTTGCAAGGTTTTTGAAATGAATAATTTATACAAAATTTGGCTTTATATTTTACAATTTTACATGTAAAGTTAGTGTGGTTGTCTTTAATTGATTACATTTTATTTTTCCATGCAAAGTTGGTGGTTTTGTGCTTTGTAAAGCTCCTGAATCTTTGGCTGCTTTCTCGTTTGTGTTTGAAAAGTTGCAGCTTCGCCTCTGTAGTTACTTGAAAAATTGTAAAGGTTATTTGCGCAATTGTTACCTCATATTCTTGCAATTGTGATCTAATTCAATTACCTAGTCTTGAAAAATAACTGTATGTTTAGAGGTTGTCAATTGAGACATCAAATTAAATCCTTATTGATAAATATTCGGATTATTGTTCCGACCATTGAAAATGGGAAGGAACTTTGTATTCGGGTGTTTGTTTTTCTCTTTTTTTTTGTTTTCTACGCAAAATCAGTGACCACAAATAATTACCGGAAAGTTTCGAGTGAAATATCATTTTGATGCTTTTTCAGTCGTGAAAAGGCCTTTTCAGTATGGAGAAAAACGGCTTTACAGTATCGAGAAAAACGGGTTTGAATTTTTGAAAAAATTTAGGTCATATTTTCTGATTTTGTTTTCAATTTTTTTCGTTTTTTAAATTTTGTTTTTACAAAAACTGTTATTCAATTTTCGTATTTTGTTTTTAATGACGAATATGACTAAATTTTAGAAAAAACCTCGTGTTTTTTCAGTGTATGGTCGGAACATTCTGTGCTACTTGCTCAGTGACTGGCTATCCTTGTTTTTATTTTCTGTCGTCAAAAACTGGTCTGAATATTTTGATTTCTCAAATTACATCTGTCAAAATTGGCTGAGAAATGACTTTCTACATTTAATTTTACTACAAAGCTATCACGAATTTAGCTACATTATTTCTCATTCTCGCAGTTTTTTTTTTATTAATTCGGTTCTTTTTTGATTTTTTTAAAATCAATTTGGTGGAAACATGCTGTTCTACTTGTGCAGCAACTGGCTACTCTTTTTATTACCATTGCGATGAGTAGTGGCGCAGTGTTAACATCTATGCTTGAAAATAGAGAAGCCCGGGAGTTTGATTCCAATCGGAGCCTTTTTTGCAAACTGAAAATTTTTGGCTGTTTTACACTATCGTCTGTCTGCTTTTTTGTCGGCTTAGTTTCCGCAGAAATGACTTTTTGAAGGTGCAGCTTCTTTCCAGCATTCCGAATGCTCCTTGTCATGTTTGTAATGGTGCAGCTAAATTTATTCTAGGATGTTCTGTTTTTTGAAATTTTCCTATAAACGTTTTCTGACCTTCTTATTCTTTCTTCTTTTTTAGCACCTAAGTTTCAAACAAAAAAGTTTGATTTGTAGTTTAATTTTTTTGGGTGCGTGCAGTTAATCGATGTGTCAGTAAATTGCCAGATCAGTAAACCCATTTACATAATAGTTTCATCAATTGGGGAGTTAAAGATTTATAGAATAAATTTTCCCTGAGCTAGAACAACAATTTTAAAACTACGAGGCTCATGGGAAGAGCTATTTTTTTGTTCCGACTTTTGATACGAAAGTAACGGAATATTTGTGCTCGGGGTGGGTTTTTTTTCTTCAGACAAATTTCGACTTTTTAACTAGCCATTTTTGACGGAACTTTTTTATATCATTCAAAAGGTATTGTTGATCTGAGCTTAAATTTGAAAAGATATTTCGCCTGTGATCATTTTTCGTAAAGTTATGAGGGCTTAAAGATTGCCATTTTGACCAATTTGGGACAATTAACGCGCGATATAATTCGCGCTATTTACGCGTAAGCGGAGATTTAATCCGTCTTATAAATCGTTCCAAATTGGTTGAACGAAGCTTATTTGCCATAATTGGTTTGTTACAAGGAGCGAAATCTATCCTTTTGTACTTTATATGGCGTGTGGGGGATGATTTCATAAAAAATTTCAAATTTTAGAAAAAAAAATTTTCATTTTGTTTTATTTCATTTCATTTTTTTAATGTTATTACTGCTGCTCAATAAACCTTAAAAGGCAGTCGGAACATTCAGGGCTTCGCCCTGATACGAGCAACCTTGTTTCATTTTTCGATTCAATTTTTGTTTTGTGGATAAAATTTGCATTTTTATAAAAATCTCAGTTTTAGCTTGTGTGATTACGTAATCGAATCATTAATTTTCAGGTTACTGATCTGGTCCGCCCGTTTTGGTTATACTGATACATCGATTTACTGACGTACCACCATATTTTCATTTGCTTTCAATCGTATTCATTCCATTTAATTTTTATTATCGCAAGTGTTGAATTTATCTGTAAATTTCTTCATGTTTAGGCTGAATTTTTCCAGCTTTTTTTTGCTATTTTGCATTTTTTAGAGCTGCCTGTCTTCACGAAGTTGGCTTCGCCTACCTATCGAGAAAAACTGATTTTCAAAATCATGCATAATAGATCATTATGCAGATAAAAACAGATTTAAGTTCACACGAAATTGCTTCGAGGTTAAGTGAGGTCTTCCTGGTTTTTTTCGTGGGTTTAGTTTTTTACATTAGGTTTTTTTTCAGAACTGCTTGAAAAGTTATTTTTTATCGGTCTATCGAAAAGAATAGTTCTGAATGTTCTTTCAATTGGCTTATTAAAAAAATTTAGGTGCTAAAAAAAGAAAAAAGAATAAGAAGGCCACTGTAGTGTCGGCAGGGGCGCTGCGGGGGATAAACAGCAGTGTTGCCAAGGGAAGGGACAATGGGATGATAGCCAATCCTTATGCACAATTCGGTATGCTAGGAATGATGGATTCTAAAAGGAGGTCAGAATCAGTCATGGAGGAAGACATCACCCTGAAAACCCTGCCGAGGTAAATAATTGTTCGTAAGTTAATCAGTTGAAGGAGGCTTTCATTATAACTAGAAGCGAGCTAAGGAAACCTGGCAAAACAGGCTCTTGAAAAGGTTTCAGGGGTGATCGGAAAATCAAATAGATCTACCTAAAAAAAGTTATTAATTTTTTTTTCGAAAACCGCACCTCGTCACTAATTAGAAAAACGTCATTTTTTACAAGTTGAATTTTCTTCAATTTAAAAGCGTCCTGTTTTTGTTCTTTTGTTAATGAATTTAGTGAACTTGATCATATGCTGGTCGTTTGGTTATCATAAAAAAAGTTTTCTCGTAAAAAATTTAATCACTGAAGTTTATATTTGGACTTCAGTTTCTTTTAAAGTTCTTTTTCTGATTCGTTTGATTTTTTACTTGATTACAATAAACAATAATGACAATTTTTTGGTGCAACGGTTGTCTATTTAAACATTGTCTTCTTATTTACCGCTGGATAAGATTTGTTTCAATTCTAATTCAACACTGGCGAGTGTGTTTCTCGGCAGTTTTTCCTCAAATTCTGTTTCTTTATGGGCGGATCTAGGATTTTCTCTAGGAGGGGGAGAGGGGGGGCTTTCCTTAACCTTAATTAAAGCTTTACTTAATCAAAGAGGGTAAACTGATGCAATGATTATTTCATCGACGTCATTTCTTTGCTGTTCAGTTTTTGTTTCGGTTACGCTGTCTGTTGTTTTCGTGCTATGTGTTGCAGTTTTTGCCGTTTTCCACGATTTACTGGCTGTTTTCCAATTGCAGCTAGTAGAGATTATGTTATGCTACGCGTATTTAAGTCGATCTGTTTTTTTTATTTACCACTCTGATCGTTATTATTTTTTAGAAATTTTACTTTTCCACTTAAATGGTTCTGGTTTATTTACACTTGTGTCAGCCTAAAGTTTTATTAAGAACCTTCTGTTTTTTCTAACTTAAATAGCAAATGTTGGTGCCACTGTTCGGGCACTTTTACAGCTTTTTGATAGCGTGCGCTTTGACATTCTAATAGTAATAAGTTAATACAGTTGATGCATTTTTAATTCATCAAATCAAACGGAAAAAAACTGTTTGTTTCAAACAAGGTAACAATGATAAAAACTCGTTTTCAGAAATTTTCTAACTCAATATATGTCGCAATTTTTGAAATTCTTAATTTCAACATAATATGACTTTATGCTTTGCGATTTGCAAACTTAGTGTGAATGCCTTCAGTTTGTTATAATCCTAATTATTACTTGCAGAATTGAGTCTTTTTGTATTTGGTGCCACTGTTGCTGAATCCTATTGGCAATTTATTAGCATATGTAGCTGCTTTATTTGTGACTAATGTTTGGCGGTGGTTAAGCTTGCGTGGCTGAGTGGTTAGTGCGTGAGACTCAAAATCTGAAGTAGGTCGCAGATCGAATCCTAGACCCTGCCGAATGTTAATTCGAGGCTTATTTCTTTTTTATTGCACTTTCTAGAGCTGCTTTTTGTCGTGTTCTCGCTAATGCCGGCGAAGCGAAGCTTCGCCTCTGTGTTAAAATTGCTTAAGTCATTTTTTTGAGAGTCATGAACATAGTTCCGACATAGTTTTTTGCGGTTTGACTTATGATTTGTTTTTCAGTTCACTCTACTTCTTTTTCAGTTCGATTGAATTTCATCTGCTGAATGGTTTCGATTTTTTGATATTATTCAAGTCATCGTATTTTTACGAGTCATGAACGTAGTTCAGACTCTGATATAGGCGCGATGATTTCTTTCGTTTTTGTTTCCAGGAAGATTTTAAAATTTGTTCAGGCTCAAATTTACTTTTGCTGTTTGATTTTTGATTTCTTGTTATCTCAATTTTTTGCTGAAGGAAAGCAAAGTCGACTATATAACAGCAAAAGTTAAAAAGTCACTAAAAACTTGATTGATTTCTAGTTTCGGAAGCTGAATTTGATTTTCAGATTTTCCAGCGGAATAAAAGAGCTTCTAAGCTAAGATTTTTTAAGAGTCACTGCACGTAGTGAGGACTCTATAGATGTTGGTAATTTTTTTCAGCTTTTTTTTCAGGGAAACGTCGTAAAGTGCTCCTAATAATTTCAGTTGTATCTTCGTATTATTGAATCTTTGAATACATTTAGGTGAGAAAGCTTTTAGAATGAATTCAGACTCTTATATAGGTAGCGATAGTTTTTTCCGTTTTTTTTTTCAGGAAAATTTATAAGACTTGTTCAGGCTCGAATTTTTTGTTTTCCGCTGTTTAAATTTTGATTTTGTTTAAGTTCACTTCACTTCCTTTGCTGAAAGTAAGGTTAAGTACACTATTCAACAGCAAAAGTTTTAAGGTCACGAAAAACGCGATCTACTTCAAGTTTAGAAAGTGGAATTTAATTTTCAGATGTTCCAGAGCAATAAAAGAGCTTCAAAGCTATGATTTATTAAGAGTCACTGAATGAACTGAAGACTCTTACATAGGTATTTTAATTTTTTTCAGTTTTTTTTTACAGGGTAAAAGACTTAAATTGCTCTGATAACTTCATTCGTGCATTTATACAAGTTAGTGCATTATGAATGCCTTAAGGTTAATATGCACTTTTTGATTTTGATTGAATTTCATCTGCTAAATGGTTTCCGTTTTTGATATTTCCCAAGTCATCTTTTTTAAGAGTCATTTACGTAGTTCCGTTTCCTATATGGGTCGGGATGATGTTTTGTTTTTGTTTCAGGAAAAGATTCCGATGATTTTTTCGGGAATTGTTAAAAATCGTTCAGGTTCAAATTTACTTTTTCGTGGTTAGACTTTTGATTCATTGTTAAGTTAACTTCATTTCCTTTGTTGAAAGGAAGGCAAAGTCCACTATCGAACAGCAAAAAGGTGAAATTCACAAAAACGTGATCGGCTTCTAGTTTTGAAAGTTGAATTCAATTTTCAGATTTCCCAGCGGAATAAAAGAGCTTCAAGGTGATGTTTTTTTGGAAGTGTCACTTATTTACTGAAGACTTTTAAATTGATTTTAGTGATTTTTCTGTTTACTCTTTTTTTTTCAGGGAAAAGTGTTTTAAATTGCTCTTGTAACTTAATTCGTGCATTCATACAAATTAATGCATTTATGATGCAATTAAGGTATATATGCAATTTTTGAGTTCGATTGAATTTCATCTGCTGAATGGTTTCGATTTTTTGATATTATTCAAGTCATCGTATTTTTACGAGTCATGAACGTAGTTCAGACTCTGATATAGGCGCGATGATTTCTTTCGTTTTTGTTTCCAGGAAGATTTTAAAATTTGTTCAGGCTCAAATTTACTTTTGCTGTTTGATTTTTGATTTCTTGTTATCTCAATTTTTTGCTGAAGGAAAGCAAAGTCGACTATATAACAGCAAAAGTTAAAAGGTCACTAAAAACTTGATTGACTTCTAGTTTCGGAAGCTGAATTTGATTTTCAGATTTTCCAGCGGAATAAAAGAGCTTCTAAGCTAAGATTTTTTAAGAGTCACTGCACGTAGTGAGGACTCTATAGATGTTGGTAATTTTTTTCAGCTTTTTTTTCAGGGAAACGTCGTAAAGTGCTCCTAATAATTTCAGTTGTATCTTCGTGTTATTGAATCTTTGAATACATTTAGGTGAGAAAGCTTTTAGAATGAATTCAGACTCTTATATAGGTAGCGATAGTTTTTTCCGTTTTTTTTCAGGAAAATTTATAAGACTTGTTCAGGCTCGAATTTTTTGTTTTCCGCTGTTTAAATTTTGATTTTGTTTAAGTTCACTTCACTTCCTTTGCTGAAAGTAAGGTTAAGTTCACTATTCAACAGCAACAGTTTTAAGGTCACGAAAAACGCGATCTACTTCAAGTTTAGAAAGTGGAATTTAATTTTCAGATGTTCCAGAGCAATAAAAGAGCTTCAAAGCTATGATTTTTTAAGAGTCACTGAATGTACTGAAGACTCTTACATAGGTATTTTAATTTTTTTCTGTTTTTTTTACAGGGTAAAAGACTTAAATTGCTCTGATAACTTCATTCGTGCATTCATACAAGTTAGTGCATTATGAATGCCTTAAGGTTAATATGCACTTTTTGATTTTGATTGAATTTCATCTGCTAAATGGTTTCGATTTTTTGATATTATTCAAGTCATCGTATTTTTACGAGTCATGAACGTAGTTCAGACTCTGATATAGGCGCGATGATTTCTTTCGTTTTTGTTTCCAGGAAGATTTTAAAATTTGTTCAGGCTCAAATTTACTTTTGCTGTTTGATTTTTGATTTCTTGTTATCTCAATTTTTTGCTGAAGGAAAGCAAAGTCGACTATATCACAGCAAAAGTTAAAAGGTCACTAAAAACTTGATTGACTTCTAGTTTCGGAAGCTGAATTTGATTTTCAGATTTTCCAGCGGAATAAAAGAGCTTCTAAGCTAAGATTTTTTAAGAGTCACTGCACGTAGTGAGGACTCTATAGATGTTGGTAATTTTTTTCAGCTTTTTTTTCAGGGAAACGTCGTAAAGTGCTCCTAATAATTTCAGTTGTATCTTCGTGTTATTGAATCTTTGAATACATTTAGGTGAGAAAGCTTTTAGAATGAATTCAGACTCTTATGTAGGTAGCGATAGTTTTTTCCGTTTTTTTTTCAGGAAAATTTATAAGACTTGTTCAGGCTCGAATTTTTTGTTTTCCGCTGTTTAAATTTTGATTTTGTTTAAGTTCACTTCACTTCCTTTGCTGAAAGTAAGGTTAAGTTCACTATTCAACAGCAAAAGTTTAAAGATCACGAAAAACGCGATCTACTTCAAGTTTAGAAAGTGGAATTTAATTTTCAGATGTTCCAGAGCAATAAAAGAGCTTCAAAGCTATGATTTTTTAAGAGTCACTGAATGTACTGAAGACTCTTACATAGGTATTTTAATTTTTTTCTGTTTTTTTTACAGGGTAAAAAACTTAAATTGCTCTGATAACTTCATTCGTGCATTCATACAAGTTAGTGCATTATGAATGCCTTAAGGTTAATATGCACTTTTTGATTT